GATTAACACACCACCACCCCACCCCCTCCCCCTAATTTTATCAACAACGAACCTTAAAGTCAGAACCATAATTGTTTCATCTTTCTACCTTGATTTAGAAATTAAATAATTTAGGTCTTCTATTACATCGAATTAAATTAAAATTAGGGGTATTTTTCAATAATTATTAGAAAATTCCACTTCAATACGCACCAAAATGATTAAACATTTTTTATTTATGTATGTTCCACTTATTTTTTTTTTTAATTCATTTTTAAACATTAACCATTCAATATATATAATTTATTTACGATATATTACTAAATTAATATCTTTAATATTTTTTTTAAAATAATATATATATTTAATCAAAATATACAACTTCATACAAAGAATAATATTATAAAATACGGTTTGAATTTAATAATTTAGGTTGGCAGATTTAATAATATTTAAAAATTGATATTATAGATATGGATACACAAAAATAAATAGAACTAAAAAGACGAACCTAATTTTTTATGATGTTGAGTAAATTTATTGACTACTCAGTTGGAGTTTAATAATAGAGAACTAAAATCAATGGGAAGAAAATAAATAAATAAATAAATAAACTTTATAAATTTAATTTAATTTAATTTATTTTCTGGATTATCAAGGACCTCATTTGTTAGGTTGTCAGCTTTCAAATTAAACACGTAGTTAAAAGATTAGCTGTTTGGGGATTTCAGATTATCAAAATTTATTGGCAATGACAAATATCAAATCATGGATTAAAAACGCTCTTCAAACCAAAACATTAAATAACTTCACATGGGAAAATAACTGATGCTCGAGCATTTCCCTCCAGGAAAAAGGTCAATGATATCGTATGCATGCATACATACATACATACATACATACATACATACCCTTTATTATTATTATTTTCTGGGGGGTCTGTTTGGTTGATGGGAAAATTACAGAGAGAAAGAAAGGAGGAGGGAAAGTGATGGTGGATATTTATTGGAAGTTAAATTTCGCAGTAAAACCACCAAGCTGAAAACTCAGGGGTTCATTAATTTAACTGGTTTATTTCCTACGTAACTTTTGGTGGTGTTGATATTAATTATTTTCTTGGTTGTTCTTGGATTTTAATTTTTTTCTGGGTATTATAGGATATATTTATATTTTTAATTGAGCTTAAACAGCTATACTTCGCCTTTCTCATTGGTTGCCATTTAATTTCTTGGTGTCTGATATTAAATTCATAGGTGGTGAGTTTGGTTTTTTAAAATCTGGGTTTTAGCCATTAAAGCTCCCTTTGGTTTTTTTCCCCTCTGCTATAATGATCAAATTTCTCACTCTCTCTCTCTCTCTATATGTATACATATACACATATACATATGAGATATAAACACATACAACTTTAAAACACCGACTCTCCCTCTCTACAAACAATGAATGAAGGCTTTGTTGCAATTTGTAATTGCAAAATTTACTGCAAATTTTCCTAATTCTGTATACTTGGTGCTTTTTTTTCTTTTTATTTTCAAATCATTAGTAAATTTCCTGGCCTTAATTTACACTCTTCTTCTACCCAATGCTTCAATTCAATTCTTATCAGTCCTCTCTCTCTCTCTCTCTCAACCTCTCTATCTCTGTCTCTCTCCACCTCTTCCCCATAATTTAATTAAGCTTTAAAGAAATCCCCTCTCTCTCACTCTCTCTCCCCCCTCTTTTTTCCTCCTTATAAAATGGCCTTACTTCTCCAAACCCACCACCAAACAAGTCCTTGTTGATGGTGCAACCATACCCTGTTTTGGTCTTGACCTGGTTTCTCTCGTTAGCCACCTAACCCCTCAAAACTCCTTTTTCTTACAAACACTAAACCTCTTTTCTTGATTCACACAGCAAAGAATTAAGAAGTTGGCTTTTCTTTTCTAAGGTTTCAAAGTCGCTAACATCAAGAAGGAAGATTTTCTGGGTATCATGATTGGTTTTTTCTTTTCTGACAATCAAATTCTCCATTATGTTTGATCAATCACAATCATCAAGTCAATCTAACTTTTCATACTTCTGTTTCAGAGAAGGAGCTAGAAGACTTTACCAGGATGAGCCGGAGGAATGGAAATGGACCCAAGCTTGACTTGAAGCTGAACCTATCACCACCAAGGACTAACCCAAGAGTGGAGTCTCCCAACCGATCGGCAACCCCATCACCGACATCTCAGTCGAGCTCCTGCCTGTCATCGGAGCTGAACCAGGACGACTCAAACAGGTACTTGAGCAGTCCAGAGACGACGTCCATGGTGCTCCGAGGATGTCCGAGTTGCCATATTTACGTCATGTTAGCAGAAGATGCTGCTAAATGCCCTCAATGCAAGAGCACCGTCTTGCTTGATTTCCTCCATGACGCCAGCACCACCACCACTCCCCCAATGATGACGAGGAAGACCTGAAAGTAATCTCGTAGGCTGGAGGTTGAGCGCTATTCCCACTCCATTTATTTATATTTGCACTCTTTCAAAATACATGACAACCAGGAGTTTGAATATAAATAATCGGAGTGTCAATAGCCTTATCTTTCCAATCATATATGCTACGAATATGATCTTATTATGACTAGATTTTGCAGCTTTTTTCTTTGGCTTCCAAATTAAAAGTTAATCGTGCTCCACTTTTTTTGTAAGGTAATCCTTAAAAAAGATAGAAGAAATTGTTAAATGGGGGGTACTTAAGTTATGAAAAGTGGAGCTCAATTAGCTAGTTTTTGTGTTAAAGAGCCCTAAAATAGGATATGGAGGGAAATATGGGCACCCTAATGGTGTTTTTTTTCTTTAATCAAGTTTTCTTTTCTTGTTTAGCAGAAGACTATGTAAAATAGTTAGCTGCCGTAGCTACCTTAGATTTTCTTATATATTGGGAAATATCAGGTCCAACTTCTTGTTCTTTTAATTTTTCACTGCAGTAGACAATCATGAAATGCCACATCAAGGGAAGGTTTATCTAGGGTAAAAGATAATAAATTATTTTGTGTAATATACTGACTTGTTACTAAAAGAAAAGAAAAAATAAAAAAATTTAGAATAAACAGTTTAATTCATAATTATACTAATCATAAAAGAGATATATCACAGCTTACAAAATAATTTTTCAGATAAAAAGGAAGAGTTCAGTTCAAAAAAATGAAAAAAAAAAAAAAAAAAAGTGAAGGATCGGCTTAAACCACCGAATTTATCAGATATCAAAAAAAGGTGGTAAAATCCATGACCCAGAGCTAGATTTTTTGTACTTTTATCTTTTTTTTTTGGGGGGGATTGGGATATTTTCGTACTTGGGAACCGCTGTTGGCTTTAGGAAAACAAGAGGCACAAAGGCAAAAGAGAGAAGATCTCGACTCACTGAGTCACGAGGGGACCCCACACCAAGGCTGAGAGAGAGTATGTTATGTTGCAAAATATTTGGGGCAATGACCCCACCTGGCCCACATCCCATATTGACTTACGCCAACCTAAATAAATATATTTTAGATATGAATTTGCCAAAACCAGGCGTCTATGCTGTGCTATTCTAGAACTGAGTTTTCTGCAACAAGGACTAACGTTAACAAGAAACAAGATTTAATAATAACAATCAACACAAATGTTGTAGGTTTATCGCACATCCTAGGGTTTCAGATTAAATATGGTCCGCAAAAGTTGGGTTGGCCTACCAAAAATATAAAACCCAGTTTAGGATCAGATGGTTTAGCCATAATAAACTGCAGTTGAAAACCTGTTTCCGATAATAAACAAATCGTTTTCATAATATTCAGTCAAGTCCGCAGAAACTATAAGAGGCAAATTGGGCAGGGATGAGATTGTGAAAGGAGAATGTTAGAACAAGCGCGAGTTTACAATTTTAATAGTAAGCACTAACTTTTTGACGATTAATTATTAAATAATAGTTTTTAAGATTATAATCTAACAGTTAAAACACTAACCAACGATGTAATTTTGAAATTACAGTAAAAGATCTGCCATTTTGGAAAGGGTAGGAAAGCGAGACAAGACTAGTAGAAAAATGTAATAAGATACAGTCTGTATGCAATATTACTTTAAAGACGGTGTTTAGCGTAGAAGATACAGGGGAATGGAGAAGGGTGATACGGTAAATGAGGGAGAGTGGGGTAGGTAGTTCGAGCATTAAAAAGAGGGGGCAAAAAAGAAGTAGGCCCGGAATGGGGAAGCTCTCCTTGTGATCGGGATGAGGTAAATGCCTCCCAGCCGGGGGGCGGATCGAATCGGAGTTTCCTTAGGTAGCCACCGACCTACAGTTATCCTTAAACTTCCGTGCTTGGTGGAGAATAAGCGAACAAAGGTACGCTCGCTTGCTGTCTTGTTCTCTGCCGCGAACTGGGATCGCTCGCC